TATATATATATATATATATATATATATATATATATATATATGCGTGTGTGTGTGAAGACCTCAGAGGTTTGGTAAAAGATTGTTTGAACAAGTAGGATAGGCTAGGAAACAAACTGCACAGGTCAGGTGTAAAGTTACACACTCCCTCCCCACCATGAACATGTTAGCAGCAGCAGCAGCGAGCTTCACTTTTGCCCTGTATTAGGTTTCTAATAGTAGGTTTTGGATAATCGGATAATAAAAAAAGAAATCGGCACATTCTGTGGACTTTTTTTCACTTGAGCCTATTTTGCACAATATTAAAAATACATAGAAATGTAAATAAATAAATTATTCAATTAATTTTAAATAAGGGCATACACATTTTATTACCTAAAATGCAATAGCATAGCATTCCTTTGGTGAATCTGATCATTGGTAGCAAATAATGCATCTACAAATAAAAAGAAAATGCATCTTTTTATTTGTATATGTCACATGTTGTCACAGCAACACGTGACCATCTCAGTCCTTTCTGCTTGACTTAGCATCAGTACAGTGTAGGACTGGTCTGTTGCTTATTATTGTTGTTTTTTGATTAACCAATTAATAATTGGACAGCAAAAGATTATTAATAGAAATTTCTTTTAAAGAACTTGAACCAAGTGAAGCTAAAATTATGTCAGTCGAGGAGTTCTGGGTGAAACATATTTACAGACAAAGAAGTTGTTTTTTTTGTTGTTTTTTTACCTGACATGGAAAATGTTTTTGTACAGTTTTTGCTTATTTACTGTTCTGATGGTGTTCTTTCGGGATGTGCAGTCTAGTTAACCATTAATTAATTGCTAAATGAGTTTACGATTTATTTGATTAATTCTTACAAATAAAGTTCGTGGTTGAAACATGACAAAATATGAAAGGTTTATAGGGGTATATTAATACTTTGCAAGGCGCTGTAAATAGTGCTCATGTCACATCTTTGATCTTCCCTATCTGAGACAACATTGACACAAAGAGAAGGCAGCGAGGTGGATAAAGTGATAGGGTGGGGGGAAGCGATGAGCACAGCCTCTCTGTGTACTTTGGATCGCTTGAGCAAGCTGGTTAGACTTCCTACTTTGAGTTTGACATTGTTCTCACATGATTCAAGTGAACTGGAGGCAAAGCAGTGACCTGTGAACAGACCCGAGGAGGGGAGAGCAGGCGGCTGATAACGTGTCACTCGAATGGTGATTACTTTTCAGCATCAGGTCATGTGATCTGGACTAATGCTAACACAGCTTTTACATTTTCTCCCATAGCTGACTTATCTGAGCCTGAAAACTTTTTTTAAAAGAGGGTTATGTTTATTTCCTCTCTGTCTTCACTCTGGAGTTTAGGACAGTGTTAAAGTCCCGACTGCAAAAGGCGTCTTTCTTGGGCATTATCGTGTCAAAGTCCTCATGACCGTCTTATCAAGCAGGAAATATGTTGCCTGAAATTTCCTGGAATGCATGCGAGGCCAGGGCATCTGAAATAATGGAGGGGGGGAAGCGTTTCCGATTCATATTCCTAAATTAGATCCAGTTTTTCTCTCTCTCTCTGTGTGTGTGTGTGTGTGTGTGTGTGTGTGTGTTCGTTTTGTGCCTTTGATGAAAAGGGATCGTAAAATGAAAGTGATGAATGAACGATAAAAGGGTCTTGCCCATGGATTTTATTCAGCAAATGTGTGGTTCCTTGAGTCAACAGTCTGTCCTTTTGGCCCTGGCTGAGATCCCATGACTTGCACAATGAGTGAGGACATTATGAGGACAAAGCAGAGAGTGTGGCACATTTGTCTGTTAGTTGCATGTGTGGCTCATCGTTCATACATTTTTTTTAAACCTCAAGTACAAGTTTTGTCTTGACAGTGTTTTAAAAAAGAGCTTTGAACATGCAGGACATTGTAATAAAAATAAAATACTCATACGCCATGACGTTTTAGATTTATAGATGATGGTTGTGTAAAGCTTTTTATTTTTCTTTATCACCTGCTTTTGAAACTTGTTTATCTTCATCTTCTTTGGTTAATGTAACTCAGACGATTCATTGATATCATCCAACGGCAGACATCAGGGGGCTCTGTGCTTATGATAAATAAAAAAATAAAATAAATTCCTTGCACATTTTGCTCTATTTTACTGTATATCTTAGACCAGATCATCATTTAAATAAATGATCAAGAAAGCAGACAAAAAAAAAAGATAAAAAGAGGAAACTATTGTAGTTCTACCAGCACATACAGTACTTTCACATAAGCTAGATACCTGTCCACCAGAGTTAAAACATTTACCAAGAAAAGGTCACAAAGGAAAACCTGACCCAGTTCCAATCAATACTTTTATCCATCAGTCCAAGCCGATATCTCAGTTGCTGCTGCGTTTTAACACTCTTATCCTACAGTGTGTGCTTTGTCTCACTACATGACAACGCTGTACAACACATGTCCTGCCTGCGCCGACGCTCATCCCCCATCCGTCCCCCCTGTGTCCCTTGGGTGCTTGGAGAGATGATCACTCCAATATCAGCAGAGTCAATTATTCATGCAGATGGGTGCAAGCAGGATAATGTTCAGCTCTGGGGAAAAGAAAAAGAGGATGGGAAAAGTTTGATGTTTGTGACACATACCAACATAGGCAGTACCTTTATGGTGCCTAACTCCGCTAAATACGCCCACGCAGTTTCAATTTTCTAATAAAACCGTGACCCTTCTCTTCCTCCGTGCAGCTTTCATGTAGTGTCGTGTTGCCTCAGTGAGCAGAGAGGAGTAGGCATGTTTCCCTTAGGCTGGTTTTATATTGTTCTGTAGCATAGATGAGACATTGTAATAAGGCTCTGATGGATTACTCTGGAAGCAGATGGTGGCTCGGTCATCTTGTCCTGCATTCATGCATGAAAACATCCCTGCGCATGCTTTAACACAACCCAGTAAAAGCCTTTTGAAAGTTTTCACACCCTCGAACATGTAGCTGCAGTAGATTTGCAGCTAAAGATTATTTTAGTAATAGATTATTCTGGAAATTAATCTATTAATCAGGTTAAAAAAAATGTTGGCACATTTTGCAGATTTTTTACTTAACTGCTTATTTTAGACAACATTTGAATACTGTAAAAAAAAATGCAATCAAATTATGTAAAGAAAATAGGACAACCTATAAGAGCAAGTGTGTTTTTATCACAATAAAGTGATTTTTAAAATCCCTTTAATGAAAAACTCAACATTTTGATAACTTTTAAACTCCCATCACTCCTTACTGGCTGATGGTGAAAACAGTAGGTAAAAATCCCTTGGAGGAGTATGTTACCGTTTGAGGGGAATAAAAGTGAAAAATGGCCAAAAATTGCTGCCTCTCTGTATATTTTAGGACATTCTATAAAGAGACTTTTTTTTCTTGATTTGAGCAGGGTGCGGATCTACCTACATACCAAATTACAGATCTCTACAAAGTACTGCTCAGCCTATCTTAGTTTAGGGGGCGCTGTAGAGCAGTTTGACCACGCCCACTTTCAATTTCATTAAAATGTTTGATTTGTCGGGATTCTGATTTAGTTGTGGAGCTCTTATCCCTACTAATGTTTGGATAAATGTTGAATCTGGGCCACTTTATCTGACCACTCTTTCTAGGGATCTTGGTCAAGTTCATGTGAATTGGGTGATTTCCTGCCATAGACTCAGCACAATGCACAATAGGGGCCATTATAGTATAGTTTGCATTATCTGTTCTAAAACCAGTTTTAAGTTGTGTTTTGGTATCGTTTTCTCCTTGGAACACAAAAGTGTAAAGTAAGTTCAACAGGAACCACCAAGGAGTGAGTCTACCATTAAATGAAAACCACCAGTGTAATGGTCACAGTGAAGCAGTTTAACATTGTCTGTTTCCCTGGTGCATTGGCAGACAGTGCCTGGGGTAGTGAGGGGCCTCTACATGTTTCACCTGAACAGCTAGGTGGTTGAAAGTTGGACATCTGTACAAACTTGTGTTCCAACACGACTGATCCAAAACACACACCAAACCACTGGGTTTTGGAATAGATGTAGCTGGCTAACTTTGAGCTTAGCTAGCTTAAAGTTAGACCAAGTCTATGCCAGGAAACAAGCCCATTTAAATTAAACTGCATTTCCAAAAAGAAATGGGGTCAAATATGTAGTCAGAATTATGCCAATCATTGTCAATGAAACTGCCTACAAAAACTGTGTGGAAGATAGGCATTTTGTTAAGGGACGTCCAAATTATTACTGAGAGTAAATGTTTATATTTGAGCCTTTATGTATGTATGATTTTGCTCCGGTGTGGATTAGAGACAATACACAAAAAACTGTCTACTGAGTGAGCTTCCACATTGATCTACTGACCAAACACAAGTAGTTCTGAAGCTCTGGTCATGATCATCAAACATTCAGGTTTTTGTGTTTCTGGATTACCAGGAAGAACTTACTAACTTCATGATATTTTTCACCATTTTAGACCATCATGGAAGGCAACGATGATGTGCGTCTGAACGCAGCACAGCCGCAGAATGATGCTGAGGAGGGAAGAGGGGAAGTCCTTGGTAAAGTGGAAGACGGAGCAAACCCTCTTGCCGGTGACTCCGTGACCAAAGGAGGGCTCTCTAACCACATAGACGATCCATCGCCATCGGTGGTCGGTCCCGCAGCCGAGTCTCCTGGAGGAGTGGCCCTGAAAGTGGCCACCACCGTCCTCCACCCTGTGTGTCTGGGAGAGAGTCCGCTGATGCTGCCCATCCACCTCCAGATGGCCGGAGCGGCCGCGCCTCAGCTCGGACAAATAGGGGCGGCGCCATTTTTGATAGCAGGCCAAAGCCCGGTGTCACTCCCATTGGTCCTAGACCAGCAGGTCCTCCAGCACATGAGTCCGACCATCATCCCTCAAAGCGCCACCTGTGCGCAACTGCCCCTCCAGAACAATGTCCTGTGTCAGAATGCTCTGTCGTTCAGTTTGCCTCCAGCTATCGACCCAAAGGCAGCTGGACAGACACAGGAAGCCAGCCTGCTGTCCCTCCTGCAAAATCCGGCATTTGCAGCCATCCTGCAGGATCTTTTCCCTCCTCAGGCAGGATCTTCTGCCTGTCAGTCCCCAGGCTCTGCCTTTTTCCCCCTTCCTCCCCTTACACCTCCCTACACCTCCCCATTGGCTCCTCTGGTTCCCCCTGCCACTCTCTTAGTCCCCTATCCTGTGATCATTCCCCTCCCAGTGCCTCTGCCTGTCCCTCTCCCCATCCCGATCCCCATTGCTCAAAGTGAGGACTCGAAAGGGAGCATGCCAAAACCAGTTTGCACTGTGAATAAAAGCACTCAGACGTCACCAAGAGATACTACCTCTCCCTCTTTATCTTCAAAGAAGTGCACGCCTCAACCACAGCCACAGAACGCGTCCCTGTCCTCACTGCCTCTAGAGGAAGGACAGGTCCTGGACCTTTCCGTCAGGGCGTGTCCGATCGAACCAAAACAGGAAAATCCCAGTCCTCACCAGGACAACGTGCTTGATCTGTCCGTGCCCAGCGTCAGGAAAAAGTGTGTCCAGTCAGAGAAGAAAGTAGCTTTAGAGTCTGGCCAAGGCGCCACCAATGCCGCGTTGTCACTGGGCGTCGAATGCACGCCGGGTTTAGATTCCAAACTCCTGGGCAGCTTGACCTCACTGGAGTTCAGCCGGCAACACAAGTGGCTGGTTGACACCGGCGTCGCTGGATCCAGCTCTCTGAACCAGGAGGCGTCTCTCGGCGGAGCCGGGAACCTGGAGATAGTCAGCACATCGCAGACGGCCAAGGTCATCGTCTCCGTGAAGGACGCCATTCCTGCCATCCTGTGTGGGAAAATCAAAGGCCTTTCAGGGGTCTCCACCAAGAACTTCTCCATCAAACGGGATGGCAGCCAGGGGGCCTCCCTGCAGCAACTCTACGCCATGCCGTCATCGTCTCACGGGGAGCAAGACCCCAACAACACCCATAAAAAGGTCACTAAAAACAGAGCCATCAAGCTAAAGAAGGTCAGCTCCCAGGAGATCCACTTCCTCCCAATTAAGAAGCAGAGACTTGCTGCGCTGCTGCCTAGGAAGTGAGAGGGCTCCCAGGAGGGAGGAGAGGGGAGATTAATGGCTGCATGACTCCACCATCTCCCCTGATAGTATAATATAACACTCACATGAGGGGCATTCTGCACTGAGAATCAAACATTCATCTGTCCAATCAGAGAGCAGCTTTGGCTCAGAAAGCAAAGCTCTGTGTGAGATATTAAATTTCTCTGAACTGCTGTGTTTTTTTCTTTAGTAATGCGTGAGAATACGTTGTGTTATTATACTGAAATGTGTTGTGTATGGCAGCTTCTCTCACTCATTGTGTGTGTCTCAGTAAATGGGAGACGTCGATTTTGTAACACGTCACATAAACCCAAACAATCCCTTTCAGGCACGGTAAAGAGGCACGGCTCCCATTCCTCCGTCCAAGCTTTCCGTTCCACATGTACGTTTTTCATAGAAGTGCACTGAAAACCTGAAAAAAAAAAAAAAGGTGTATACTGGTTTGACCAAGACTGTTCAAACATGTCACTGGAAATTCCCACTGACATCGAAGCTCACTGGAGCGAAGCGCTCCTTCCTGATTGGTCGGGGTGATTTAGCACGACAGGCTAACGAAGACTTAGCAAAGACCGCAGCCGTAAATTCATTGGACAAATCTTGCCAACATCTGACAGTCGCAAAGCAAGATGGCTTCGTATTTTCCTGAAAAGCAAAGGCTTTTGTAATGGTTTTCACTTTTAATCCGTGAGTTGATCGGAACGCAGGGAAAACTAATGGGGTGGGTGGGAATAAGAGCTGCTTTTGTTGTGTCACGATGCCTTGCGAACGTATTTTAATTGTTTTGTTTTGTTTTTTTTCCACATTTTGTCCGTTTATCACCACAAACTAGAGTCTGTTTTATTGGGATTTTATGTGATCAATCAACACAAAACAGCTCACAGCTGTAAAGTGAAAGGAAAAAAATATTCCTAAAATAATGGCCATTTTTTGCCAGGAGATTTTGTCAACAAAATAAAGAAATATAAAGGGTTCTTTTGAAAAGGTAAAAAAAAAAAGACATCACTTTTGACACACACACAAAAAATCGACGTAGGCCATTATTTTAGGAAGGTGATATATTTTACAATAAAAGAAATCTGAAAAGTGTGGCATGCAGATATCTAAAGTCACAACTTATTTAAAAGTCTTTGACCCCATTTTGTTACCAATTTTTGCCTCTTTTAATCTTAATTTGTTTCCCCATTAACCTCTGACCAGCTTCCCAATCACATCACCACATCATGATGCTGCCACCACCATGTTTTATGGTGGGGGAATGTATGTTCAGATTGATTAGAACAGAGTACATTTGGTAAAAAAAAAAAAAAAAGAAAAGATAATCACAATGTAAATTTTCCTTTCATTTCACAATTTTGTATTTATTTGTGTTGGTTTATCTAATAAAACCCCACTAAAAACAAATCAAAGATTGCAGTTTTAACTTGATAAAATGTGGAACATTTCAAGGAGTTTGAATACGTTGCAGATACTGTAGCCAAAGCTGATAAAATGCCTCACGGCATACATGTAAAAGCCTGTAACACCTTACTGTTTGTTAACTTATTAACATTTATTTAACCTCCACAGTACGGAAAGTATTTCCTTTACATTAGTGGAGAAAGAAAAAAAAACTGTGCGTGTTTGTTTTGTATGTGACTCGTCCATTATTAGTATTGATCTGACAACATCCTGCTTTCTTTTACCCAACATGTCATGTAAAAGTTGCTTTTTTTTCCTTGTTTTTGATGTTTCTCTCCGTGGTAAGGACCAGAGTTGTGAATGTGGAGCGTGTCGTTGATTTGAGTGCACTTTGTAATCGTTTTCAGTTGAAAAACGCCCGGCCGCTCCGCCGAGACGTCACCCTCGTCGTTTATGATGAGTTCATGGGGTTGTGTAAAACGGACTAGCAGCAGGCCAAGAACTAACAGCAGCCACATGCAGACTGTCTGGATGAGCTGAGATGGAAAATACCTTGAAGCTCCACGTTTTTCCGTTTCTCTATATTTGTGTCTCCGTTCCTCAGCAATCCCAGAATATCTGACGCCTGCGTTCCTCTCCAGAAGAGAGCGGCTTTGAAATAATCACTTTACATGGACTGGATCTCCCTCTAATTTATTATTTGTGCACCTTTTTATTTATGTAAATGTGTGTTTTTTGTTTGTTTTTTTAATGTTCCAGATGGTCAAGCCAGGAGACAAGGTGAGGGATTATCAACAGCATTTTTATGTCAGTCTCTCTACTTCTCCTCATGGCTGCAGTTTAAAAAAATAATAATAATAAGGGTGAAGGATCACATGTGGAAATGTGTATTTAATTATTTGCTATGTGTTGTGTGCGTGAGCTTTTTTTTATATGAGAGCAAACTGAATTTTTCAAGCCGTTTAGTGTGTCGACTTGATTCTTTCTTTGGGATTTCTCCTCATTTCACCTGTCGACAGGCCTAAATGCCCCGAGTTCATTCATGTTACATTTTAAGTTGAATCAAGAAGTTGTGGAGACTTAAAACAAACAAAAAAAACAAGATGTATGGATCACTAACAGACAAACAGATGGGGTTAACAATATAGCAACCTTGAAAGAACCCAAACAAGAAATATAAAAATAGAAAGTCATATGTAGCAGATACACACACACACGAACATAAAAATACAGGAGGGGATGTAGGAATACTTTTTAATGTCAATGAAAAGTAAAAAGTTCATAGCAGGAGAGGAAGAATGTTTAGAGGAAGAATCTCATCTGTTACCTTCCTCCAGGAATGTGTCAGAGCTAAACAGAACATCAAGCCAGACGGAGAAAAAAAAAACAAAAAACAGAGAAAACATAAACACTTGAAATAACAGCAAGAGTGATCAGAGAGCAGATGCGATTCATTGAAATTCAGCTTATTTTGGGCTTTTGGAGCACATTAGTTGGTGCAGATGCAAACACACTTTTAGAAGGTTCTCTACAAAATATTCTTAATATGGGAGATGTTAGCTAACTGCAAATGACTAAGACATTTCTAGTTAAGCAGGTAGAAAACATTGAAAAAAAAAATCCCTGGCAAACAGTTTGGACATTAATGCTTTAGTTGAAGATGTCGGACTAGCTGAAATTTCTCTGGCAGTAAAATTAGTGGGTCGATGGAGATGAAAAGGAAGTAGATGTACTTAAGGTCATCGTCTCTTAGCAACGGTTTCCATCAAAGCAAAGTGGGTAGCTATAATTGTTTTGCACTGCAATGGCCTCTCAGTCATCATAGTTATAACAACTGATGTAAGACATTTCCAGTTTAGTAAGAGCATCGAGCTGAGCGATTGAAGGATTTTTCAAACATGAACCAAAGCAACACTCCAGGTATGTTGTTGATGAAGGAATAACATTGTAACATGATGTAAAGCTCAAAAAAGTCGATTTAACATAATCCTGCCTCTCTAGTCTCCCGTGGCAACCGCTCAGCTGTTCAAAACCCCTGGGTGGACCTAGCCCCGCCTTCAAAGACGAAGCTCCTCCTCTGAGCTGCAATTTTCAAGTTTCTGAGCTCCCAACCACTCTCCCCCTCAGCTCCTTCAGACTAGCCAGCTGCAATTAGCAAACATCTGGTCAAACTGAACATGTGCTGAGCTCATTAAACGGGCTACTCCTCAGAGAAACACTGGTAGAAACGTTGCTAAAGGGTTAATAGAGGAGCCATGTTGTGATGACTTCCTGAAGGCAGAGTTTCAGAAAGAGTGGAAGTTTTTAAAAAGACAGAGGCCCAATTTGAATATGAAAACATTAAACTGCATAGTTAAATTTATTTTAAGTCATATATATATATATATATATATATATATATATATATATATATATATATATATATATATATATATATATATATGTAGCATTTTTATAACAACCAATGGTAAAATGATACTATGTGGTTGGAAAATACATAATACTGCCCCTTTAAGGATTGTGCTCTGTTGATTAATGTGCTGCAGAAGCATGTTGCCACCGGTGCAGAGCTTTAATCCACATTGGGCAACATGTGCGACGACTGTTAAGACCAGACTAACATGCTGCAGAAAATACAAGGATAGACAGCAGATGAACTCTGCAGAGTCATTTTTCTCAATAAATCCTCCAGATTGTTCCATTTGGAAGACATCTTGTACAGGAAGTCCAACATTGAGGCATCCCGATGCCGTCTCCGTCTCACACTGTCTAACCCATTATCCCAGACATGAACGAGATTTAGAATCAAAACATCCTCCTCAATGAACTTCTTGCAACATTCCCAAACTCCACAATCTGGTCCATGACGGAGCACCGTCTGGTGAAACTGCAAGAACGGCCAGGAAACGTTTGTGAGTTTCACAAAGTCCTCGTGTCAAAATGAATACAATTCATTTGAATAATCTATTAAAGCCGCTGATTTGTTGTCAAATCGTTTAGACGCATGTTTATATTGACGGTGTCTTCAGTCAGAAGTCAGGATGCGAGACGGCTGAATGTAATGTAATCAATGTACTTCTCCTGATGCGGCAGATGAGTTGATCCCCCAACAAGTACAAGTATTTACATTAGGCTAAATGGCGGATGACACGCTTAGATTAATGGGGAATTTCCTTACTCTATTTATCATGTAAAGCACAGATTTCTGGCCACGTCTCCGCCTCTCAAGCCTGTGTTTCCACAGCGCTACTCAGAAGTTTACAGAGACTCATCATCAGCAATGCAGATGTCAAATTAATTTGAGTTTTTTTTTTAAAGCATTTGAACTGTAGTTTTTTTTCCAGGGTGATCTAGTGATTAGAAATTACATTTCAGTGATTTCTGAATACATGAATTTGGTGCACGAGTTTGAGCTCAAAGATATACATACAGCCCCACCAATGTTTGGTGGGGCCATTGGAATAATAGAGATGGAAAATTCCTAAACATCCTTCAAATGAACTTCAACTTGAGTTGACACTTTGTCATAATTGAGTTTTCCAACAGGACCATGATCTGAAATGCATCAAATCTGGATAACACAATGTCTCTTGCGTCCATAGACTATAACAAACAAAAAAAATCAGCCATCTTGGATTGAACTTGCAGTTTTGAACCCGTTCTGGCCGCTTACACTCTCCATTTCATCAAACTCATCTTAAAGTTTTTGATGTTGAAACTTGGTGGGTTTGCTCATAAGGCATGGGGGATCTAAAGTTATCAAAATCCTGACGTTTTGTGCATGCTGAAGGGGCGTGGCCAGATCTTAAACTTTGACTGTTTGCTAAAAACAATGTTAAAATTCTAACAACTCCAACAAAGAAAGTCGCAGAGGCTCAAAACCTGCGGTGACTGATCCTCATCTGGTCCCAAACAAAACTCAGTGGTAAAATGGTGACATTTGACCCAAGCCCCGCCTCGTGACAACAGAAAATGTAACATTTTGCTTTGAAAGGTCCTAATTTGACCCTCTAATCAACATGATACACCTTTGAAGCGTCAGGCATGATGGGTATTAATCAAACACCTAAAAGATGTTTATACACATATTTGTTGAGCGTGGGCTAAGTTAAACACAGTGCCCTCTAGACGCAGTAAAATGGGAAGCCCCAAGCCATGCTTTGACTGAGGATTATCAAATTCGGTACACATATGTAATTTCTTAAGACCTACAAAAAAGTCTCTTGAAACCATGGTCCAAACCTCACAGGAAGTCGGCCATTTTGGTCCAAAGCCGCCATTTACTTACGGTATAGCTAACCAAACTCATATTAGAGCCTTCTACTTACAGACTGAAGGAATTGGGAATCAAAAAGTTGATCAAAGAAAATTTTACCTTGTGTCGAATTCTTGCTTAAAAAAATAAAATAAAATCATAATCACCCATCAAAAAGAATGATTTATAAACCCAAATCAAAGACATCCACACTGAGACACAGTAAATCAAAGACTTCTCCTTTCTGAATATCCCTCATTAGTCTAAACAATCCCTTGTAGCTATTAAAAGCACATGTAGCTTCATGGTTGTAATTTCTTTATAGAAAAGAAAAAAAAAATACACATCGTAAACACATCCTTTATCTACTGTGACATAATAGACAAGTGATGTTTTGCAAAATCGATTTTTTTTTTCAAGTACTTTAGAGAAGATGCGAGAGGGAAAATCGACAGCACTTCCGTCCTGTGTTGAATATAATATGGCACAAGTTTTAACGTGGGGGGAATGGGTAACGGGAGAAAAAACTTTTTTCTTAATAGGTGTATTATAAACATTATGCTACAAAAGTTTCTACTAACAAAGACCACATGAACCTGAGAAATGTCATAGGTAAAGCAAGGCAGGATCTAGAACTGGAAGAAAGTGAACTAAAAGCACTGCGTTAAGTATAAAAAAAAAGACCAGAAACCACTGTTAAATACTCGCCCCCTTCCCCTTTTTTTAGCTTCACATTTCTATCTTATGCATATGACTTCCTTAAAATATTACGTTTCTACAAAATGTACATTCTGTTGCTGATATTCATGGTTAAACCCATAAAACTGTACAGATCTGTATACATAGCTAACAGTGATTGTTGTGGTCAATAGTAAAAACACTGAGGTTTCAGGCAGACCAACAAGCTTACATGAAACATGACTGATTAAAAACACACACTCACACTCACACTCACACAAAAAGAGCAAAACTTAACATAAGAAGCCCTTAGAAATGTCTCAAATCTGCATTCTTTAAACATTCTGCTTATTGAAATTGATAAACCAAAGCTTGTGACTTAAAAGAGTTTGACACTGAACTACACGAAAAAGGTAGAGATGCTCCGAGAAATCAAGGTGACCGGAATCCACACGCTGATCTTTTTTCTGTGAACACACCGTTAGTAAGAGTTGTTGAAAACAACACTCTTCAGTGTGCAGGTCATTGCTGAGTGACGAAGACAGAGTTAAGAAGACAAGAGTTATAAACGGTGAGAGAGGTGTGTGAAAATCAAGTCAGAGGAAGCACAGAAGTTCAAGAGACTCATTTAAAGCGAAAACGTATCGTCTACATGTCGTCAGATGAGCGTCGGGCTGCGGTGGAGCGAGAGAGAGCAAGACTTTCAGGAAACAATTTAAGGCTGCATTCTCATAGGCGTGAAACACATTGTTGGGTCTGTGTTAGTGGGGAGCGGATCGATGCTAAATATTGATACTAAGTCAATATCAGTATCACATCGACACTAGCATGATAAAATCGATACTTTAGTTTCAGATTCTCTTGAAATTTGATTTCTGTATTGTAGTTTTTCAATTCTAAAGTAAAAGATTTTCTCTCAAATTATAATCTCTTGCAGTTTGTTTATTTAGAAAACAAAGTAATACATTTGTTCTGTTCTTCCATTGTTTCTGTTTGTTATGTAAATATGTCATTCAAGTATTTTAAACACTTATAAACTTTATCAAAAATAATTTTGTCCTAAGTTTAAGCAAAAATAATTCAAAGGAAAAAATCTAAAATGCATAAAGGTCAGAATTTGTTTTTATATATATATATATATATATATATATATATATATATATATATATATATATAAAATACCTAGAAAGGTATTATATACCTTATGTAGATATTGTATTGGCATCTATATCTGCAATTTTGAAATGAGATTTGTGTTTTTCTAAAACAAAAGCTGTTAAACACAACTGACTTCTTGTTTCATAAATTTACTCGGGTTTTAGGGATGTGATGGTGAATTACGACGCTTTCGTCAACAACCGATAACGTTTTTGTGTTTATCAGTTCTTAACTGATAAAAACCTTCTTGCAGTAACATTGGCCACTTCTTATGTAAGAGCAACATTACCCTTTTCAGCCTTCCGACTTTTTTGTGATGGAATAATTTGGATTTGTAAAAGTTGGCATTTTGGAAGACAAGAATATACCTTCTCTCAGAAGGAGCCCGTTGTTTCAGGTCATGCTAACAACTGAGATAATACAAGAAGCTAAAGGAATTTTAAAGTTAAACTTCCTATTTTACAGCAACTGCTCTCTCACACACATGGTGTGACGTCGCCTCTGACATAAATAGCTTATAAGCAGGGACTGTAGAATAAGGTATATTATACCTAATAAAGAGAGAGTGACAACAAAAACTGAAGATCAGACATCGGCCACTGTTTTCTGATCGGAGCATCTTTACCAATGAGAGGCAACTTCGAACCCGCTAAGACACAAAAATATAGTTAATGATTCCAAAACCATCCAGCTCAGTTAAAAGTAAAAAAAAAAAAAAAATAGATAACATTATTCCTGGCAATGACACTGACAGAGTCTGTGAAAATGTCTGTCTGCACAGCGCGGCATCCTTCAGGCAGATGATATACTTTTAGGCAGATAAGTAGGGAATGAAAATAATGCAACAGTACAGACAAAAGCAAAGAAATTCTCTTCTGGAGTATGAAGAATGTTTCATGTTTGCTTTTTGTTTTTCTCAGTATACGAATCCTTTCTCATTAGGTAGAAATTCGACAGTAATAATAATAATAATAATAATAATAATAATAATAATAATAAAAACATTCTCCATCTTTGGGGATCCAAAAATCAGGATCAAAACATTTCAGCTCCATTAAAAAAAAAGGGGGAAAAAAAAGTCGTCCTTGTGTGAATGTGTGTGATGCAACGTAAACACTACAGGGATCATTCTTGCTTTGGGATTTCTTAGAAGTCAGAGTTTGTTTATTAGACTTGAACAGCTTTTTATTCGCTGATGAGGGGGGGATGAGGTAATGCGTCAGCGATGCACGGCGCACTTCTTTTTTTTCCTTCCCTCCGCCCCCCTGCTCTGGAAGTCGCGTTGAAGTCGTAACATCGAAAAGTGCCCCCTCTCCTCCAGAAGGAGTCTAGTGTAACATGTAACCCCTGCGTGGCCCCATGAGTCGCTGGCTCTTTCTGGGCTTATTGCTCACAGGTCTGATAGAGAATCACGGCTCCTCTGTTTACAGTTTGCCTTGTTTCAGCCGCTCTATGTGGTGGCAGAGCTTCAGAGCCGGCCCCAGTTTCAGACCCATGTACTTCATGATCATGTCGCTCCGTAGAAGCATCAAGGCCTTTCCGTCGATCTCCTACGGAAACAAACAGAGACTCATTACTGATGAAGACGAACCGTCACGCAGACTCCCAGAGTTTCTTTCTGTCAACTTACATGTTTTCTGAATAGTTCTGCGTGAGGCGCCAACGCCGTGGGATCGGCGTCCCGGACGAACTGCATCACCTCCTCAATGGACCAGGAGGAAGGGTTTTTACTGGGCAGCTGCACATTCTCTCGATCCATCGATTCGGAACCGGTGGTGGAGCTAGCTGCTGCCGAAGA